GTACAATAAACACCCCAGGTGCCAGTAGTCAGGAAATTAAAACACCTATCACACTGGGAAAATCTCTTATCAGAGATCTCTCCAAAGTGCTTAAAAGCAAGAACATCATTTTAAAGCCCAAAGTGAACCTGCTCCAAGCTATAGTCTTGGATGCCTTTGTATGGATGCCTTTGAGTTGTGGTGCTGAAGTGTACTGAAGATCCCATGGACTGCCAAAAAACAAAAAAGTGTATCTTGGAAAAAGTACAACCAGGATACTCCTTGGAAGCAAAGATGGTGAAGCTTGATGTTACATACTTTGGACATGTTTTAGGAGGGGCTAGTCCTTGGAGAAGGACATCATGCTTGGAAAGGCAGAGGGTGAACACAGGATAGGAATGCCCTCAATAAGATGAACTGACACAGTGATCATAAAAATAGTTCAAGTATATCAGAAGAGGTGAAGAAGGCACAAGATAGGGCCAAGTTCAGATCTGTTGTTCAGCAGAGGCCATGGCACCAGGGATATCACTGCTGATATCGATGGATCTTAGCTGAAAACAGGGAATATCAGAAAGACTTTACTTATGTTTTAATGAGTAAACAAAGATATTTGTGCAGACAGTAATAAACTAAAATTAATAGTACTATTGAGCAAAATGGGAATCCATTAATTATGCTTATGTGAAACCTGCACATATTTAAAAAGTGCAAAGGCCCTGTGGAAACGACAATATCTGACCTTTACCAAGGCCACAAAGAGGAAGTGCTTCCATCAACAACACAAAATGAATTCCCATGAGGTCAAATATGTCCCTCAGGTCCTTACAACTCCTTCTACTCATCTCAACACCAATCTTACTGCTTTACTGGGTCCAAAATCCATTGGAATAGCTCACAGACCACATATAACCATATCTAGGAAATCAAAAGAGTCTAATTCAGGTTCCTAACAGAACAACTCAGTCAGGATAGGTGCTGAAATGTGTGCACAGGCACCTCAGCCTTCCGCCTCACGTGGCTTTAGACTAGTATTACAATGCTTACTCCTGCCCGTGACGGCTCTTCTTCACCCATCGCCCCTAATCCACCAACAACCTTGGGCAGAAGGCTTTGAGCTCTTGTTCGATGGCACAGCAGTCCCACGGTCCACCCTGTCCCGCCTCGCTGTGGCTGCTGCTCTCACAAGCCCTGGTCTGCTCAGCACAAGAATCTCTGGCCCCCAAAGATGGGCTGTATCCTTTTGCTTCCTTTTTGCTGATGGTGAGATTCTCAATTCTGCTGCTGGATCTGATCAATTTAATGGTGAGACCAGCCAATCCCCTTGTGGGTTGGCAAAACTAGGCAATTCCTTGTGGGAAGGCTAACATGCCCTAGTCACATATTCCTGCCCACTTACACGGCCAAGTCAGTCAATGGCTAGGGAAGCCACTTGGAACAATAAATCCTTAACACTCCAGCAGAGAACAAGAAGCTGTCTTCTGAACAGAACAAGGAAACCCTGTATAGTTTAAAATCAAGAAAGGTGTGCACCAGGGTTGTATCCTTTCTCAAACTATGCAATCTGTATGCTGAGGAAATTGAGAAGCTGGACTGTATGAACAAGAATGTGGCATCAAGACTGGAAGATGACTCATCAACAATCTGTATTATGCAGATGATACAGCTTAGCTTACAAAAAGGGGAAGACCGGAAGCACTTAGTAAAGAAAATCAAAGGCTACAGCCTTCAATATAGGTTACATTTCAACATTATAAAAACAAAAATCCTTACAACCAGACAAAAAGGAAATATCGTGATAGGAGAAGAAAAGATTCAAGTTTTCAACAAGTTCCTTTTACCTGGATCCATAATCAACACTCCTGGTAGCCATGGTTAATATACAGAAGATGTATTGCATTGGGGAAATTTGCTATCAAGGACCTCTCCAAAGTGCTAAAGAGTAATGATATCAATTTCAAGAACTGATGCAATCCATGGAATTTTCCATTGCTTCCTATGCATCTGAAAGCTGGACAATGAATAAGGATGACACAAAAAGAATCAACGTCTTTGAACTGTGGTGACAGAGAAGACTACGGAATATCCCACCCCACAGACTGCCAAAAGAACAAACAAGTCTGTTTTGGAGAGAGTGCAACCAGAGTGCTCCTTAGAGGCAAGGATGGTGAAACTAATCTCACATACTTTTATTGTGGTGTCAGGAGGGGTCAGTTCAGTGCCTGTAGAGAGAACAAAGCTATATTGGGAAAGGCAGAGGGTTTAAAAAAGAGAGGAAGAACCTCAGTAAGATGAACCAACACAAGGTCTACAACAATGGGCTTAAGGATGATGAAAATTGTGATGTGGGCACAGGACAGGTTCAGATATGTTGTGCTTAGGTTTGCTATGAGATGTTGACTCAGCGGTACCTAAAAACAAATTTTTAGGAGAGGAGACTCCCTATCTCTGACCTGTTAAGCAGTCCAACATGTTACACAGTAAGTCATCGGGGCTCATTGTTATACTAGTACAACTGCTGCTAACTGCTTACAACTGACCACAAAGATCTTACCTTTCTCACTGTAAATGAGACACTTCCTCACAGTATTATACAGCATATCTTACGTGAAAGCGCTCTGTAAATGAACAAATTCTTACTATCAGTAAACACAAGAAGCTTACATCAGTCCCTCCACAAGAAATTTGACATCTATTCAGGGAAAGGACCAAAACTGACTGGAGGAGAATTCAAAATATGAATAATTGTTATACTGAGTGTGCAAATAATCCATGTAGGGAACTAACTGTATGAAAAGAGGCTGGCGCTCTATCTTCACTTAATAAATACTCGCTCAAATAATGAATGAATGTAACTGAGTATCGGAGATGATGAGGATGGCACAGGACAGTCACCTGTTAACAGGGTCACTATGAGCTGTCCTCGACTTGATGGCAACAACAACAACAACAATACAGGGAGCTCTGGTAGCCTAGTGGAAAGAAGTTGCACTACAATCCCAAAGGCAATGCAGTTCAAATCCACCAGCTGCTACTGGGAGAAGGAAGAGCAATCTCCTCTTGAGCCATTTACTGCCACTGAAAACCCACCGAAGGGTCAGTTCCAACTCGATGGCACACAACAACATAGTCATTAAAGAGCCCTAGCAGGATAATGTATAGCTTTTCAGATTGCTAACTGAAAGATTGGCAGTTCGAACCCACCAACTACCCTGTGAGTGTGAGTGAAAAACAGGCAATCTCTTCCCTTAAAGATTCATAGCCTGGGAAATCTGAAGGAGAGTCACGGACAGCTGAAACCGACTTGATGACAGTGGATGTGGAAGAAGCCTTGGTGTCATAATGATCAACTACTCAGCAGCTAACCAAAAGACTAGTTTCTAATCAGAATCAAGTCAGTAGCAATGAGATGTGGGGATTCTGTCTTGTTTGGCTTCGGGGCGGGGGATAGTTTATGAGTCAGAATCGACTGGGTGGCACACAACCCCAAACACCTTTACCAAGGAACCCTGGCAGCCCAGTGATAGCATAATCATCTCAGAGTCTGGTGACTCAAACCCACCGGCTGCTGTGTGGGAGAAAGCGTGGCAGGTTGCTTCCACAAAGATGTGCAGCCTTGGGAACTCAATGAGGCGGTTCTGCTCTGTCCTACAGGATCACTCACTCACTCACTCACTCACTCACTATAACAGAGTCAGAATTTATTCACGGCTGATCCCCCAGCGTGTTTCCAAGGCTGTAAACTGCAAAGGAAACTGTCCATCTTTCTCCCGAGGAGCTGCTGGTAGATTTAAACTGTGAGAGACTCAACCTCTGAGTTAGCAGCCCAACCTCCTATGTACTAGGCCACCAGAACCTCCATACAAGGTCACTATGTGCTTAATAGCTTCATCATGCACAGAAAGTTATACCAGTATCTGTTACTCACAGATACCCCAAGAAAAGTACTTCAGATTTTGTACAGAACAGCCCTTCTTTCAAAGATGTGCTTTCAAAACAGTAAACACAGATCTTCAAAGAGACAGCCCACAGAATTATTTTTTTTTAATTTACAGAAGTCACAGAACCACCTCCAAAAACTTAATCCTGAGAAAAACAGAAGCAAGCTACCTTGTTGTGTTAATTACTTCTTTTTCTGCAACTCAATCCACATTGAAAGCTGACAATAAATAAATAAATATGGCTGGACCATAGAGGCAAATGTGTAAATTGGTTTCAGGGTGTGACTGATATATCCTGAGGCTTTGGAAAGAATGACAGAGTTCTAGAAACACAGACCTGTGTCTGAAAATTAGCAAAGATAACTCCAGTCCTTCAATCATAATCCTTACCTATCAGTCTGTTTCTGACTTACCTTGCTAAAACACTGGGAATAATCTCCACCACCATGTCCTTCCTCCCTTTTATCCCCACCTCCATGGTTTCTGAGCTGTATTCTTTTTCTTCCTGGATGTTATGTTTTTGTCATCTTGGTTTTCACTTACACCAGGCTAAGCGGCTGTTTTTAGGATTTTCAGGATTTCATCACTACCATTATTGTCCACTGCTCAGTTCCCCTCTAGTGGAATTCTGATTCACGAGGACCTCATAACTGCTCCAAAGGGTAGTAGTCATTATGGAAGCAGTTCACCCAGCCTTTCTTCTGTGGAGCTACTGGGTGGGTTCAAACTGCAAACCTTTAAGCTAGCAACTAATACTCCCTCTTTTGATCAATGGTGGTACCATTCCTTGTCCTCAAAGCTAACACTCTCAAAGGCATTTTACACTTCTACTCTTTCATTCTGGTGGCCTACTGGCAAGAAGCTACAAGGAGGCATGAGATTCTAATCCACTAGCTGCTCTGTGGGAGAAGGATGGGCAATCTCCTCCCGTGCAATAAAAAGCCTCTGAAAACCCACCAGAGGGTCAGCCATGGGTTGGTTCTGACCTGATGGTACACAATAACAACTTGTTCATTTTAATCCCCCTCCCTCATTAGTGAACCAATTATTCTAGAAAGTGTGTACAAACAAGGGAATGACATGAACATTGACCTCCAGAAAGTTCTGACCTCACCTGCAGCCTCAGCCTTCGTGTACAGATGGTTAGCCATGGGTAGTCACTGTATCATCTGGTTACCCTTGGGATTCTCAGGGTGGCACAAATAATTAAGCACTTGACAGAAATGTTGGCTGAGGTGCCTTGGAAGACAAACCTGGAAATCTGCTTCTGAAAGGTCACAGCCTCAATGACTCTACCGTGATACACAGTTCTCTGCACACACTGGGCAGGCGTGGGGGCCTTGGGGGGGGGGGGGTGTCAGATTACCATCACTGTAACTGACTTGATTTCAACTAATAACAACAGCGTAAAATACATGAGGGACTTACTGGGGCTTTACTTGTTCCAGAATTCCTTTACTTTCCCTGGAGGTGTAAAGGAGACTATGAAGCCACGGATAGCATAGTTCGAATCCACCAGATGCTCCGCTGGAGGAGGGGAAATCTCCTCCTGTGCCAGTAGGATCTGATTCAATAGTACATAACAAGGGGGGGAGGGGGAATAAAGCCACAGTTATACCACAGCGTTGTTGTTGTTGTTGTTGTTGTTGTTGTTGTTGTTGTTATGTGCCGCCGAGTCGTTTGCAACTCATAGCGACCCCATGTACAACAGCCCTAAACCGTGCTCTATCCTGTGCCAATCTCATTGCCTCTGACACACCCATCCCGAGTACCCCAGTCACTAAATCAATCCACCTCATAGAGGGTCTTCCCCTCCTGCGCTGTCCCTCTACTCTACCCAGCATGATGTCCGTCTCTAAAGACCTGTCTCTCCTTACAACATGTCCAAAGTATGTCAGACGAAGCCCCAGAATCCTTGCCTCCAAGGAGCAGCCTGGTTTAATCCTCTCTACGGCATTAAACAACAATAATAATGACGACGACCAAGAGAGAGCTACGTTGGCCTAGTGGAAGGAAGCTGTGCTACCAAGCCGAAGGTGGGTGATTGTCATCTGTGGCCCTCGGCCAGGTTCAAATTGTCTTCCTGTCAAACATTCTTCTAGGTGGCATAGCACTGATCTGTGTGTTGCTGTACAGAGAGGTAACTTGTGGTTGCTGCGATGCTGAAGCCTGTGACAGTGGTGTGCCAATCATGGTAATGGGTACCCATGGTGGACAGTGTTGGCTGGAGCTTCCCGACTAAATCAAGCCTGGAAGCAGGAGAGGCATCCATTTCCAAAATGGCTTGCCTCTGGAAACTCTATGTACGAACAGTGTTCAGGCTGTTCGTTCATAGGGTTGCTATGAGTCGTCTACGACTCGACGACATTAAACAACAACAACACGATGAATCTGTTTGTTTTCTTGGCAGTCCATGGTACATTCAATACTCTTCTCCAGCACCACAGCTCAAAGGCGTCAATTCTCCTTCTAGCCTCGCTAGTCATTGTCCAACTCTCTGATGCATAACAAGTGATTGCAAAAACCATGGCCTGTATCAGGCGGACCTTAGTCTCCAGAGAGACACTGTTGCTCTTGAGTATTTTGCAGAGGTCCCTAACCGCAGACTTTCCCATCGCAATACGCATTACAAGTCAAAATTTATCTCTATAATTGAGGCTTAGGGATGACGTTCCCTAAAAAAGTTTCCAAGAGGGCTCACTCCACGGGACTTAATTCCCTTTTCACTGATGAACCAACACTGGCTTTCCTTTCCTAATTGTAAAAAGAATATTTCAGAGTTAAAAATATCCAAGTTACGGTGCAACCACTGTGGAAAATGGTGTGGCGCTTTCTCAAAAAGTTGCAACTAGAGATACTATTTGACCCAGCAATTCCATTACTGGGAATATACCCTAAAGAGACCATAAATGACATCCAAGCAGATATATGCACACCCATGTTTATCGTGGTTTTGTTGACAATAGCAAGGAGCTGGAAACAACCCAAGTGCCCATCAACAAACAAATGGATAGAGAAGCTCTGGTATATTCACACTATGGAATACTATGCAGCATTGAAAAACAAGGATCTCATGAAATATTATTCAAAATGGGTGACCCTGGAGGACATTATGCTGAGTGAAGTATCTCAGTCACAAAAGGACAAATACTGCATGGTGCCACTGTTGTAAAATAGGACTGACATCAGGGTCTGGGTAAGACTGAGAAAAACTGGATAAATTATGTATACTGCATTGAAACTGATGAGGGAGAGAACAGTTTAAAAGCGATATATGATAGGGTATTATGGTTATCACTTGCATAGTGGAGTGTACTTGAGGCAGTGGGGGGGTGGGGTGCAGGGGAATTGTATACCAATGAAAGAATTTTTCTTTCTCTTTTCAAAGAGAGAAGCAAACTGGGGTGGGGGAGGGCTGGGCAGGGAGAAAAATTGTTGCTGTGCAACAATGAATGGATGGAAATCCAAAAATCTCTGTAAATACTCATTAAAATTAATTTTAAAAAAGTTTTTAAAAAGTCCAAGTTACAATGAATGAATAGAAATCCAAAGTCTCTGTAAATTTTCATTAACATTTCTAACAAAAAAAAATTTTTTTATTTTTAAATTTCCAAGTTAAAGACTGATAAACTAAGTAATGCTCAACTTGGTTCTATTTCACCTGACACTGGGTTTCCAGTGTTGTAAATCTTAATGGGATAAAACTATCCATCTTTCTCTCCCTCAGAACAGCTGGTGGATTCAAACTGTTGGAGAAACATGGTCAATTTACTGTGGACTATTCCACCAGAGCTCCTCTAATTAAAGCTATGAAACAGAAATCCTCACAGCTGACCAAACTCCCAGATGCTGCTTGCTTTGCAGTCAGTCAATTCACTCTCCTGCTGGGGACGCCACAGGAATTCTCCAAGGATACTTCTCATGGCTTCTTCTTTCTCTTGGTCTGGAGCACAGATTTCACTGAAAAAAGCCAAAGTGACTCTTTCAAAGTAGACTCCTTCAACATAATAATCTCAAATTACGTCATTTATGGGTATTTCCCCTAGACTGTTAACTCTATGGGGCAAGTATTGTGTCTACTGTGTTCTTTGTTTGACACTGTATAGCCAGTACCTAGCCTACCACAGTCATTCAGTATATACCTGCCAAATGAATGAGTAGATTTATTCCTTTTAGTTTCTGCAGCAAACATCCATTCACCTCCTATCGCCTGATACCAAAGCCTAACCTGATTATCAGCTCACACATTCTTATTCTTTGTAGGCAGTGTAAAAGGAAGAAGACAAGACAGACTCATGAGCTCTTAGGAAATCCAGACCTGTTTTTCTTGCCACTCTGCTGTGTAACAAAATCCCCACGCAACTGAAACAAGGAGGTAGATGGTCTTCCCATGGCAGAGCTTCTAGCTGAAGGTGGATGGGAATCAGGGATTGATGAAGGCGTAGACCAGACCAGCCAACATACCATTTGTTAATTCTCTAGCAATGTCCTGAACATGCCAACTGAAACAGCAGCACCCACAGAAAACTCTCCTCCCTGATGTCCCAAAGATGGGGAAAGCCAGGACATATGACCTTACCCCAGGGAGACACCCAGTTCAAGACTATCTTCGCACTGCATTTTGATGGTGGGCTGAATGTACATAAGCCCAAGGGAAGTCAGAACTGGAGAGCATCAGCCCTCCCAGAGAGCATGTTCTAAAACATTAGGCAAGGCTCCTACACAGAGGATGCTGCCAGTGCTTCCCATGATACAAAGGGGTTACCCACAGGGAAAAACGACTCAAAGAACATCCCACCAGCTGTGACTAGATGGCATTTTTGAACCTCAAAGAAGGACAACACAATACAAGCAGGTCCATCCTAAGCATCATGGAAACCTATTTTTTTTTTTTCAAGAACAGTTCTTTCTCAGAAGAACTGGTTAAAGACCTATTCCCCTTTGTGATTAATTTCACTATTAGACTCAAAACCACAACCACAGAAGGGACATGTGCTTGTTCCTAACATCCTCTTTTCTTCACTTACAGACACCCTCCCTCCTTTTGTAGGCTAGGAAAATAGAAAAGACAAATTAATCTAACTGGGTAGAAAAAGCACAAGCCTAGGAGTCAGGAGCCTGGGCTGCTTCTCCCAGGGCTTTTCATCACCCTGGGCAAGTCAGCTCATTCTATCCATTTCATTTTCTTTTCTTTGAAACAGTAGGTAGGATGGGGTGATCTCTGAAGTCTTATCCTTCCAATTCTTTTTTTTTTTTTTTTTTTTTGTGTGCGTGTACCGTCAAATCAGATCTGACTGGTACAGGAGGATATTGCGCCTCCTTCTCCGGCAGAGCATCTGGTGGATTCGAACCGTGTTCCTCTGGGATTGCAGTGCAGCTTCTTGCCACTAGGCCACCAGAGCTCCCCATTTATCCTTCCAATTCTAAACGTTCAGAACTACAGAGTTTCTCTCTTCCAATGCTTGATTTGTTGTGTCAGGATATTTTTGGAAGACCTACAGACCTGCTGGAGTTCTGGTGGTGACAGTCCCTGGGGAGTGCATGAACACAAAGGCCACACCTCTCTGGAGGTTAGTATTCACCAGGAGCTCCTGGAATAAAAATGGGCATTCATTCTCCTCTCCTGCAACTTACCATCTCAGGAACACGACAGAGGGTCAGTTATAAGCTTGTTCTCACTCAATGAGTCTGAGAGCTTGTGGGGTTTTAATTGAGATACCTACAATTAAGAATTCATATCTTCAAATAAAATTCTTAGTTCAACTCAGATATATTTTTTTTTTAGTCTCCAAGGATTTGATAACAGAATTTACATTAACATGTAGTGTCATTACAAATCCGAAACTCTGGACAGTCAGTTCTAGGGCAGGAAAGTTATGACTTCACAGACATACTCACATCATGTACATACACACAGAGGAGGAAATGTTCATGAAGGACTGATCCCTAGATGAAGCTACAGCCAGAAATCTAAAAGACTTTTTTTTTAATCTAAGACTTAAGATGTACTTTTTAAAAAAACTACACAAAGATTGGACCAAGGGAGGAATGGTGGCATTGTAGAGCAAGGATTCAAAGACTTGTTGGGTTGGGTGGGGGCCCTTTTAGGCATGCAAGGGTTAATATGGCTGCAGGAACGGTAGAGTGGCTCCTCCATTAGGAAAGACATCTTTGGCCCATCAGTTTGTGGAGGGCGAGTTCCTGGAAGGCTATGGTCCTACAGTGGAGAATACTTACAGCAAGATAGTGACTCTGGGCAAAGATGACTTTCACCTACACCTGGTGGACACAGCAAGGCAGGATAAGTACAGCTTTCTACCCTACTCATTCATCACTGGGGTTCATGGTTATGTACCTATATACTCCATCATCTCTCAGCATAGCTTCCAAGTCATTGAGAGTCTGTACCAAAAGCTACATGAAAGCCATGGGAAAACTCGGCTGCCAGTGGTATTAGTTGGGAACAAGGCTGATCTCTCTCCTGCCAGGGAAGCCCAAACAGTTGAAGGGAAGAAGCTGGCAGAGTCCTGGGGTGCAACATTTATGGAGTCATCAGCTCCAGAAAATCAGCTGGCTCAAGACATCTTCACCAAAATCATCCAGGAGATTGCCCATGTGGAGAATTCCTATGGGCAAGAGCGTCACTGCCGCCTCACGTGAGCCTTTGGGCAAGGGTAACTGCCGTATTTCTGCCCCTGGCATTTGCCAGGCTTCAGTAGGGCAAACCCTCTGGACTTCACGGGTCTGATTGCCAGCTGTGTCTCTAACCCTCTGAGCACACAGTCTTGGCACCTCATGTTTGCACATGAGCTCCAGTGGCCTGGGTGTCAATGTTTACAAATGGGCAACGATATCTCATAGGCACTGGCCTCTAAATGCTTGTTTTTGTCAGTGATTTATTTTATGACCTTCAGTGTTGTATACAGGACCTGGAAAATGTTCACGCAGGACTCAGCTTCCTCCTGAGTAGGTTTGGGTGTTATGTAAGTAAGGGGAGCTGTGATATCCTGTAGTGGACTTGACTCCCTGGGCTGACAGTGTATCAATACAAATAAACTGAAAAATCTTAAAAAAAAAACCTACACAAAGAAAGGTAAAACTTTCTTAGATATTCTTAAAAAAAAAAAGACAATTCAACTTCATGGTTTTATCTACCTTACTGGACAAAAAGCAGCTCTGGTGATACAGTGGTTAAGCTCTAGCTGATTATTCAAAAGGTCGGCAGTTCAAAGCCACCAGCCACTCCTTGGGAGGAAAAGGTGGCAGTCTGACTCCTGAAACACGAACAACCATGGTAATCCTATAGAGAAGCTCTGCTCTGTTCTACAGGGCTGCTATGAATTGGAATCAGCGTGACAACACTGGATTTTTTTAATTTTTTTTTTTTGCTGGAAAAGGGCAAATGTCCAATCTTAATTGTCTCTAAGGTAGAACCCCCTTGATCCTCTAATAATTTGGTAGCCCACACATGCACAATTTTGAGAGCTTTTGGTAAGAATTTATGAGCAAGTAAAGCAAGACTAGCTGTTGATCACAAATATTAGTCATTCCAATGAGGGCAAGGGCAAAGGGAGACATGCTGATGCATTATTTCAGTATTATGGCTGGCATGATGTAAAATCACCCAGGGGTAGATCCTGTAGAGGAAATGACACTCCCAGCAGCACCATCTGTTCCTTCTGTGTCTGGCATGATCTGTATTTTTAACATCAGATGTACCAGAGGTCCACCTGTAAGCATCCTGTGAGTGCTATGTTAAACGGCTTCCCCCCCCCCCAAACCTACATTTCACCATGCAAACTCACTCCTTCCTCTCTACGTAGCCAGTGGGTTCACCAGTTAGTGAGGACTCTATCTCTCAGCCTAGCAGAAGGCTCCAAGTAAGTTTACCAAACCCTGGCATGGAATTTTTCACTAGGAATGGAAAAACTTCTGAGAACTAGAAATTAAATTTGATAAGGAAGGTTCTGTGGAATTCTCTAAAACATAAATGACTTAGAACTGGGTTGGAGGATAAAAACTCTTTTCTTAAAAAAAAAAACAAAAACCCAACTCTTTTCTTTTTAAAGAAGCAGTACATGTGCAATGAATTTTGAGATTATTGCGTTCGTTACCTCTCATCACTGAATCTCATAAATTATAAAATCTGAATTTCACAAATACAAGATGTTTGCTGGAATAACATCTTTTCTTGATTCAGGACAATATCATCAACATCAAAGTATCCAGAGATTTTGCTAAATACTGTTTTCCCCAAAAACTGTATAACTAAAAAGAATGTTAATTCCAAAGCAAAAATACTAACGCATCTTTAAAAAAAAATCCTTAAGAAATAAGAATATGTCCCTACACAAAAACTTGTACATGGCTCTTTGGAACAGCACACATAAAAACAGGAAAAGGGGGAGACTATACAAATTCCCAACAGCTAATGCATGAATGAATAAAATGTAGTATATCCAGAAACTCACTGGCATTAAGCAACCCCAATTAATAGCAATCATAGAGGACAGAGTTCAAGGGTATAATCTTTATAAAAGCAGACTGCCACGTCTTTCTGCTGCAGACCAAGAGAAAACTGGAAAGTTTAAGGCACCTTCAGTTAGCAGCTCACCTACTGTGCCAACTGGGGTTGCTAGAGGTATATTTATACAATGGATTATTCTTTAACAATAACATGGAATGAAGTTCTGAGATATATGCTAAAACATGGATCTGCTGTTTTCCATTGAGTGGAAACTAACCCATCACTGACCCTCCAGTGGGTTTTCAGAGGCTGTCAATGGTGTGGGAGGAGATTGCCCAGTTTTCTCTGGCTAAGCATCTGGTGGATTTGAACTGCATGCTTTTGGAATACAATGCCGCTTCTCACCTCTAGGCTGTCCGAGCTCCTTGCAACATGAATAAGCCTCAAAAATAATATGTTAAGTGAAAGAAGCCAATCACTATAGATCACATATGATTATACTAGCTGGTGCAAACACTTAAGGCTTCGTTCTGTTGTTTACAGCATCACTAAGAGTCAAAATCAATTCAATAGTACATAGCAACAACAAGTCATTCATATGATGTGTGCAAATCGGCAAATCAATAGAAACAAAAAGTAGATTGGTGTTTCCCTAGAGCTGAGAGAATTGCAGGGGAATGGAGAGTAACTGCAAATAGGATTTCCTTTTTGTGATGTTAAAAATAATCTAAAAAACAGTTTTGAAGTTCCTCAAAAGGTCAAATGGAGAACTAGCATATGACCCAGCAATTCCAATCCTAGCTATATTCCTTAAAAAAAAAAGTAATAGAAACAAGGAACTGAAACTAGTACACCAATGTTCACTGCAGCATTATTCACAAGTCAAAAGACAGAAACAGCCTAAACATCCATCAACAAATAACAACTGAATGTGGTGTGTACATACAATGTTGCAATATTAATCAGCCATAAACCGAAATAGAGTCCTGATATATGTTAAAACATAGAGGACAGTACTTGGGGTGAAGTGCTGGGACTAAGAAAGGAAGGTGCACTCGCTGTAAGGAGAGTGAAGACTTAAATCCAAGATCATGGCAAGACATTTGAAATTCATTGCCAGGACTGTGATGGTACAGGATGGCAACGTGGAAAGTGCATACAGGAGCCTGAACAGAATCCTCAGCACGGATGAGCTCATTGAAGACTTTAAGCGAAGGAGATACTATGAGAAGCCCTGCCGCAAGCGACAGCGGGAAAGCTATGAGACCTGCCGGAGGATCTACAACATGGAAATGACCAGAAAAATCAAAAGAATCGGGCAGATCCATGGCAGGGCTGCTAAGCCAGTTTGTGTCTCTACTTGGTTTTTTCTTGCATCCATATTCTCTTACTATTCTCAACAATAAACTCAGTCACTTGTATGCAAGAAGACCCGCAAATGCAGAGATAATCCGACTAGTCATCAATGGACGATGTCTTTTATTAAAGTGAAAGGGAAATCGAGTCAAAAAGTAGTCTAGGAGCAATGAGGAAATAATCTAACATGTAGTAGAATATACCTACTGTTTCTTACATGTTATTGTAAAATTCAAAGCAAGATGTTATTAGTGAAGCATCTGTTACACTTTACAGAACCTCCCTCTTCCCCAACCATTAGGTAAAGAGAAGAGAAAGCATGGGAATGGAATAAATTCTGAAATACCCATAAAAAACAACAACAAAAAAAAAAAACCACACATAGATGAACCTAAAAAAACATGCTGAGCAAAATAAGGCAGTCACAAAAGAATAAACATATGATCCCACTTATATGAAACAAGCAAATGTTTAGAGATCATAGATTATCAGCAACCAGCAGGGGAGAAAGAAGGGGGGGGGGGGACAAGGAAGGCTTTATTTAGGGAATACTATGTTTCTGTCAATGATGGTAAAATCAAATGGATAGTTGGCCATATCTGCATAACATGATAATCTTGAAGTCACTAAACTGCATTTAAAATGCTGAATCTGGTAGTTTTGTTTTATATACACCCAACTACACATATACAAACACAGAGTGAGAGTGAGCACTGGTAGGTAGCGTAGTGCATTACAGGTTGGGCTGGTAATAGAAAGGTTAGCAGTGACCTGGCACACTGAGAGAGAAAGATGGGCAATCTACTCCCATAAAGGATTTACATCTAGGAAACCTGATGGAGGGAGGGTTGTTATGAATCAGAACTGACTCAACCACACTTGGTCTGGTTTAGGGATGAGTGTGTGTGTGTGTGTGTGTGTGTATATATATATCTATATATCTATAATGAAATGATAAAATTAGCCTGTAGTGGTGGTTATGTAACTGTTTACTGAAAATTACTGAACTGTAGTCTTTAAATAGGTGAATATGATATGGAAATTATGTCTCAATTAAGATGCTTTATTTAAAAAAACACTACACAATATTTTTTTTTTAAAACCTTCTTGGGAAAAACTGAAAATAATCCAGATATGTAAGGGAGGATGTCTAAATCAAAGAGTACCTACTCAATGGAATATTATGAAGCCATTAAAAAGAATTATAAAAGCTATGGGTGATCATGTTGTTGCTGTTATCCGTCGTCAAGTCACCTGTGACTCATAGCAATCCTATGCACAATAGCTCTGGATTCTGCCCTATTCTGAGTCAACCTCACTGTCTCTAACACACTTGTCCCTATTACTCTGCCTGGGTGTCATAGGGATACGGTTATATTATAATGCTAAATGAAAAAAAGCAGAATATAAAATTTTATTATAGAAACTGTCACCTAAAAAATAGAAAAATAGAATACATGGAAACAATTCTGTGACAGGTTGGTAAGATCATGGTGATTTTTACTCTTTTATTTTCTAACCTTTCTGTAATGTCATCTTGTATTGATGTTTCTCTTCAGCCTTCCCATAGAAAAGCTGCCTAGACTGAGAATTTTAAAATGCAAAATAAGCAATTGGACTTTGATCCTTTTTCAAGTGAGAAGAACTATTTACCAATTTAGATACTGACAACAAGTCAAAGAAGAAAGAGTTGGATAGCCAGACTCCTATCCTATCCCCAGAAGGCCGAGTTTCATTTTACCTAAGTGTTTGTCAAAGAACCCAAAACCTAATTTAGCCAAAGAGAATTTCAGCAAGGACCATTTACACAAAGGGCAACTCCATACACTAATGGTAA